GGGGGGGGGGGGGGGGGGGGGGGGGGTGCGGGCGCCCATGCTTTGGTGTATATAAAGAAGATATTAAAATGTATTGATTTATTTCTTTGGTGTCCATAAAGAAACTATTAAATTGTAATAATTTATAATATGGATTTATTTCTCTGCTGTACATATAAAGTAATGATCAAATCCTGACCAGCCTTTTAAAAGTAACACGTATTTTTGCCTCAACCAAAGCTAGCAATGTCATCTAATCAACTGGCTGAAGCTAAGAAAACAGATTTTAGAGACGTGAATTAGACAGGCAATACGATAGCAACATAATTATGTAACTTGTTGTAGTATAGTAGTTGGTTTTAAATGAAAATAATGCAGAAACTTCAAGTTTGTGTGTAAACCAAGTTATTGTCTAATTAATGTTTATGTTTGAGTTTGTAGTAATAAATTACTACAAAGAAACTTTATACAAGGAAATATTTTCTGTCTTTACTTTAAATATAATTGGTAAATGATTTTGTCTTGTTAGTATTTGTGATCTAAATAATGAATATGTATTTATTTTTGAAATGTACTGCTTAAATCATAGAGTTAAATAAATAGAACCTTGTTATTCTAAAGTGAAATAGGATTTTCAGAATTGAAAGGTTCAATCGAAAATTTCAAAAATTCCTATAAAATCAAAATCACTCCCTAGAACCTTCATTTTAATGATCAAACCTTGTATTGATAATATAAACATAAACAGCAACAACTTCTATAAAAAAAAGGTTTTTAGTTTATCCAAACCAAACATCAAATTTTCAAACGCGAATATCTCGGTTTGACCAAATGGTCGCATGGAGCCTTGTTATTCTAAGGAGACGATACCGCTACCTCAGAGGTACAAAACTTTGAATTGATAACAACGAAAACATGAGAAAGTTACACCGGTCACGTGATGAGTTTCCAATCAATGGTATAGATAGAACACCTGTTCTATTATATAATATTGAACTCTATTGTCCTCTTCACGTCCTTAGACAAGAGAACCAACAGTGTACAAGGTCAGCAAATACAGGGGTCAAGGAGGTGGATGGGCGAGTTGAATACGAAGGGTCTTTTAGTTACACTAGCTGTCTAGATTCTAGAGCAGTGGTTCTCAACCTTTCTAATGCCATGACCCTTTAATACATTTCCTCATGTTGTGGCGACCCCCAACCACAAAATTATTTTCGTTGATACTTTACTGCTGTAGAGTATATGTGTTTTCAGATGGTCTTAGGCGACTCCTGGGAAAGGGTCGTGCGACCCCCAAAGGGGTCGCGACCCACAGGTTGAGAACCGCTGTTCTAGACCTAGAGGGCGTCGCTAATGAAGACATTAGCTGTCGTGATGCTAGAGCTAGATCTAGAGGGCGTCGCTAATGAAGACATTAGTTGTCTAGATTCTAGAGCTAGAGCTAGAGGGCGTCGCTAATGAAGACATTAGCTGCCTAGATTCTAGAGCTAGAGGGCGTCGCTATGAAGACATTAGCTGTCTAGATTCTATAGCTAGAGGGCGTCGCTAATGAAGACATTAGCTGTCTAGATTCTAGAGCTAGAGGGCGTCGCTAATGAAGACATTAGCTGTCTAGATTCTAGAGCTAGAGGGCGTCGCTAATGAAGAAATTTAGCTACGCCCCTGCTGATAAGTAGAAGCCATGGCGTAGCTACGGTTAGTGCCGCTCGGGGTGGGCCATTAATTAGTGCGCCCCTTTCAACAATAAAAAAAACCTCTGCAGTTGGCTAAAATGCTCCTCCTTCATCTAAGGACAAAAATCCCCCCCCCACTTTTTTTTTCTTACGCCACTGAGTAGAAGTAAAAAATTTATTGATTTTTCCCATAACCCTTTTTAAAAAAAAAAAGAAAAAAAGATGGGGTTTGCCCCCCTCCCCTTTCTTTTTTCCTTACCACAATCCCAAATAGACCAGGTGTGGACATTAGATGTTCTTTTATTACCTCTGATATCATTCAATTTAAAAGTACATAAGGCAAAATTTTGAGGATCTCTCCCAGAAACGTCCCTGAGACAAGCAAACCCCCCTTCCCCCCCCCCTTTTTTGCACATTTTAAAATAATAAACTATAAGAAATAATGTATAAGTCCAGAGTCAAAACAACTGCATAGCTCAATGACCCCCACTCGCATCTTTTCTGAAGCCCCCCCCCCCAACCACTGCCACAGTGTAAAAAAAAAGGGGGGGGGGGACAAAAAGAAATGAAGGTTTGTACATCGTGTCTATAAAAACCTTTGAGAAGAGATGACCGACATCCTCACATTAGTCTAGCTCCCGTAGTTTGAGGGTGAAAACAACATGGCGCTTCTAATTTTCTCAACTCTGGCTATATTCATCCTGGCAGAATTTACAAGTGAGTACCACCGAACATTGGTGAATTAGTTGCTCCGAAGTTTGTAGGTATTTACATAAACATTGAATTAGTTTCCCCTAATTTTGTAGGTATTTGCCCTACATTGGATTAGTTGCCCTAAGGATTGTGGGTGATTGGCATACATTGGATTAGTTGCCCCAAGGATTGTGGGTGATTGGCATACATCAACCCATATGCTATAGGTTTCCGCGAAAAAGTAGATTATGTTCAACAACTTTAGATATCTGGCGTACCTCTGTTGCTTTGACCCCAGGGAATTATATGTCACTATGTAATGTTTGAACACCTACCCGCATGATCGCAGGGTAACCGCCATACAATCTATTCGCTGTTACGGGACCTTGGACTTGAGTTGATTTTACTTTCATTCAGTTTGTTTGTTTTTATTAATAGAAATAGTATGAGCCCAAACTTAGATCTAGTTGAAACCATCAAGGTTTCACATTCAAGTTCACTTTAATAAAGAAAGAAGTTCACATTCAAAATAAACAACCCCTGGAAAAATAAGTTTTTCGCCCAAATATTTCTAAAGACAGTATCGAGCAATGGGAGGGTGGGGCTGAATATTTGACAAAACATGCGCTTCAGTGGCCCACTTTGTAAGAATCCCAATTAGCGCTCCTAGCCCACCCTCCCCCCCCCCAGGCTCGCCACCGCTCATTTTTTCACGACCCTTGAACTCTATTAATATTCTTTTGACCCCCTCCGCTTTTACACAGCAGATTTTTGAAAGAAAAACAAAAGAAAATATTACACACCAAACGCACTTGCGATTTTGCTTCTTTTAAAATAAAAATCTCATTTAGCGCAGTAATCGGGACTTTTATTTCGTGATATTTATGTCAGCTTATTGCCTTCATCTTCTCCTTGAAAATCATGGGAAAAACTGAATTTTGGAGGTTGGGATGAACATTTGATCGAATGTGTTGTCATCGGCAAAGAGTGTATGTGGCAAGTTTCAGCTCGATAAGTTAACGGGGCGTCGGTCAATTAGCAGTCCGAAGCTTTTGCCACATAGCCATACAGAAACACACGAACAAAAGCGAAGTTAATATAAAGGATTTTACAAAAATATGACTTCAAATTTCAACGGGAAAGTGGTTATAAAATTATGTACCGCTTCCAGGGCAATACATTATTTTCTTCATCTTCATTTGTCCACAGATGCCATCAATGTTAACTCGTCACCTAGCAAGATACCCCTGGGACAACCAGGCCAGCTGACCATCAACTGCACCACCCTTGACTGGAGCACCAATGAGAGGGTCGTGCTCAAATCCCTGACGCTGTCCAGCGCCTTCATTGGCCAGGCACGTGACTTCCAGGATCTTGTGACCTACTCCGTCGACTCGGACGGCGAGTTCGAGCTGAGCCCCATCTCCAGAGACATCAACGCCGTCGCCGAGGGCCACATCGACCCCAGGGGCGAGTCCTACCTAAGCCTCACGTTCCCGAGACCCAACTCCGAGGACGCGCGTGTGTACAGATGCGTGGCTCAGGGTGAGTACACCAACGGTGACCTCATCACGAGACAGGACATAGTGGAGACGGAGATCAACGGAGATTTCCTCGTGCGGTCGGTCGGGGAGCTTCAGAACGCGGTGCACGAGCTTCTCGAAATCTCGGACGAAACCCAAGACAGTATCAAGGAACTCGAGACTGCCAACCAGGGTATCTCCGACGAGGTCAAGCAAGTGAGCTCAGCGGCAAGCGCCGCTCAGAGCGGGTTGGCCGCATTGACAGAATCCGTAGAGGCGCTGCGGGCATCCAGTGTGTCCAAAGAAAGCCTCGAGTCATCGCTGGCGAACGTCAACAACGTGGTACAGCTTCTGGAGAGCGTTCAGGTTAACGCGAAAATAAACACCGAGCAGAGGTTAGCAAGTCTGGAGGCGTCGTTCGCTTCGCTGCAAGCGTCACTGGGCGACCTTGGGCGTTCCCATGACGCCCTCAAGGCCAGATTCACAAGAGCCGCCGCGCAGTTGTTCGACGTGTCGGCGCCTTACAACGGCAGACGATACTACCTGGCGAGGAAGATTGTGGACGCAACCATCCACACGGCGCAGGCGACATGCGAGGTCTACGGTGGGTACCTGGCCGAGGTCAACAACGCCACAGAGTTCCAGTTCGTGCAGGAGTTCCTGAAGACGACAACGGTTCTGACAGGCGTGTTCATCAGCGGCACCGACGCGGCCAAGGAAGGGCAGTGGGTGTGGCCGCGCCTCCAGCAGCCGGTGGGTTTCATCGACTGGGCGCCAGGGCAGCCCGACAACTGGGGCACATACGCCAACTGTCTGATCTTGTGGAGGGACAAGAACTGGAAGATGGACGATACCGACTGCTATCTCCAGAACGGGTTGACCAGATTTTTGTGTGAGATACCGGAGTAGCCGTTGCCATAGTTTCATTGATGGCTTTGTTTCGTGCCTAAAAAGTTATTTCATTAAAATTTCATGAATGAATTAAAAGCGGTCTTGTTCTCCCCTCTCCCCCCCCCCCCACCTCCATTTTTTTTTTCTCTCCAAAATGTAGTTTTATATAAAGTCGTGTCTTATTTGCTGAAAATGACGAACCAATTAACAATGAAACTTTCTGCAGATATAATAACAATAATAAATGTGCGCCTGAGCCTACTGCTTCCTCTAACTACGTTTAAACTGCCAGATGTGATCCCACATTTGACACGTTGCAATTGCCATAGCATCCATAGCGCACCATATGTCATATCATGGAAAAGTGTACGTTAATTTTATGTTACAATCTTGCGTATATGTACACATGAGGGCCCGTAGGAATTTTCTCCAAAAAAAAAAGGGGGGGGTGGAGGTCAACAAACTTCGGACTTATACTGGTAGTATCATCCTATTATCATCGCTGAGTGGCTCTTGTAAACTAACCAGTGAAGTATCCGCTTCAAAACCATGCACAGAATCATCGCGAACACCCTCTACAAACATAGGCGCCAGAATTATGAATACATTGGTCGTGGGCCCTCAAAATATAGAAGACCGAGCAAGAAAACGAGCGCAGTCTTACTTGTATCATTTCTGTCATGTTTTACTTTGTCACGAACATTAATTTTAACGGTCGATTTAGACGTTAAATAAACAATGTTAAAAAATGAGGGAAAAACTAAAAGGAGCACGTCATGAGGTCGTGTTTTAATTTGAATTTTATGGAGGACTGGTTACAACGAACATAACATTTTACTTTTTCTTCCTATCAAAAGATCTAAAGGCTAAGCCGCTTTCGCTTTTAAGAAAAAGAAAAACTTGGTTAAAAACTTTTGATTTCCAGATGATGATTTGAACTAAAAAAAAATTGTTTCTACTGATTAGACTATTTCTTAAACAAAAATAAGATTAAAAAATAATTTTAAAAAAAAAAAGGATAATGAATTATGCGACAAAAAAGGCAGTTTTTGTTTATGATGTTGTAACCATGGTGATATCATTTGGTAGCGGCTTGTGAGGGAGACGTGACAACTCGGGACGGTTGTAGTCCTCGTGATTTCTTTCAAAAAATTTCCTCCCGTCATTTCAGATCTTCGAGTGTGGACAGTGCCTGTGGGAGGAGGCGTAGCTTAGGGGGACAAAAGTGGCATATGTCCTCGGGCGCCAGACTCACAGTGGCGCTAAAATAGGCTCTGATTTAATTTAATGGATGAAAATAAACGGTTTCAGAGTTGAAGAGGAAGGGGGGGGGGGCGTAAAAAATTCTTCTTGTTCCTTGGTGCTAAACACTATAGCTAAGCCCCTTCCAGTGGCGTAGAAAAGGGGATGGGTGCTGTGGTCCACCCAGATGTCATTTTGTTCTTTAGATAGACATTGACATGCTGTGTCATGAAATGGAGAGTGGTATAATTTTTGGGCGCTCATCTCCCAAAATTCAAAATGCAAGAATGCGTTTTAGATCATACCCGAATTTATTTTTGCAGCAGTCCTCAACCGGCAACCAGAGAGCAATGGGAGAGATGCTAGTTACAAATCTAGGTGCCATTTGACCTCAGGACCATCATGTGGCCCTACAGCCCCTACAGCTGCAGGATGCGCGGGGGGGGGGGGGGCTCGGATATTTTAAGGACTTAAATTTGTGATATGGACACTTCTTTCTTTTTAATTGTCAATTTTGAATACCAGGTTGAGGAAGGATAAAACCAAGAAGTCAAGCGACGGCTCTGCTTGACTAGGTTGGGGTTCTACACATTATTATTATTTTTATTTAACTGAATAGCTATGTGGGGTTTTTATGTCAACTATTTTTGGGGTCAACTTAAAAAATGGATTTTCAAAATAAAAATAAAAATAAAAATACTTCCAAAAAAAAGTTTTTCTATTTTTTTTTTAAAATAATGATGAAGCACTGCTAACTGCTAACTGCTAACATTATTTTATATGGAGTCGGAATTTTGTTTAATGGTTCCTTCACGTTGAATAATTCCAAATATTAAACATGCTAGATCTCTAACAACGTCATCAGAGTGAAACATTATGGCTCGTTTCCGTCAAAATTGCAAACTGGCAATTAAGAATTTGAAATCTCTTGTCAAATCTCTTGTCAAAGCTCCAGAGGCGTAGCGAGGGTGTTTGGTGCCCGGGGACAAGATTCGCGCCCGGGGACAAGATCCATTTTTAGCGCCCCTTTTTCTTTTTTTCAACTCTCAAGCCCATTATTTTAATCAATAAAATAATATCAAAGCACATTTTGGCGCCCCTAACTAGCTGACGCCCGGGGACATCTGTCCCCCCCCCGCCACCCCCTTGCTACGCCTCTGCAAATCTCTTGTTACATCTCTTGTCAAATCTTTATGACGTGTCGTGTGGAATTTCCTTATGACTTCTGATTTGAAATAAATCACTTCTGACGAGTTTCTCACTCCGAACAATTTAGGGTTCAAAGTTCCAAGGTCACGTCTACAAACATTAAAATACAAGATCAGGTTGGGGGCGAGGACAACAGAACAAAAGTTTTTGTGAACGCTGTTCATCGAATCTTGATAACAACAAAATCTGCTTCCGTAACCTGCCTCGAACGAGAGATTAATTGGGGAATTAGGCCTTGCAGTATTTCCTTAAATAATGATTTTTAAAAAATAAAACCTGATTAGTCATAGCTCCAGTTGTCGAGTTTAAACAAACACTACACTTGAGTACACAAAGATTGAATCTGTGGACTGTGGATAATGATTGTGTTGAAAGGTTAACACGTAAAATGACTAATGGCATCATATAAGCATTGCAGTAGTGTTAGAACCGCACAAGATTCCCCCCCCCCCTTTTTTTTCCCCCTC